TCATTTATTACTCAAAGCTTTGATGCCTATGGGACAAAAATAACGTTGTTTTTCCTTCAATGATTCCGGTTTGGAGGATGGTTAAACACGGCCATTGTCATATTGGGACAAAAATTTTAGATGTCTGGCCTTGGCGTCGATGAAAAAGTGAAAATAATCGTGAATAAATGGGTCGTTTCTGAGAAAGAACACAGAATATAAAAGGGGGTCCAAAAGGGGGTCACCTTCTTTTTGCGTCAAAGGAGGGGCCATGGCCCATTGCCCCCCCTCCCCCTGTATCCACCCTTGGTTCGGAGAGGTAATCCCGTCCCCCGCCGGTTTCTACGCCGACGCCTGTACCGATATGTCAGTGATTGCGAAAAGACGGAAGAGACAAGACAAGAGACGGTCCCACCGACTATCCGATCGGTATCGGGTCAAATCTGGAGTTCCTGCTGCACTGAACGTAAAATGATTGGATGGAACCGAAAATTGAAAATTAATAATTATCTTAACGCCAGCAACGTTGATTGATGACGAGAATCTGATTAACGATGACTATAGAATCTGAATAGCGAATTGATTGAAAATGGGCTCCAAAATAAATTTGAAAGGGGGAAATTCCCCCTTCCCTCCCTAGCCGTTCAGACACGATTTGAAAGGGGGAGCGGAATTTTCGAAGGGGGGAAATTCCCCTCTTCCCCCCCTTTAAAAGTAACCCTGGTCTTACCTCCCACCTATCATGGAACATGTTGTTCGACGATGTACAGGGGTCAAGGTCAGGGTCAAGGTCAACCTAGGTCATCTAAGATAATTGCGTTTTAGGCAAGCTGAATTTACTTTTTGTGAAGTTTTTTGACCGCATTTTTGGTAAAAGCTTCTCAGATCATGATTTCATGTGATATGGACCCAAAAACAATCGGTGCACACATCAGTATACACACAGACACACACAGACATACAAACACATATAATTGACCTTGACCTAACTTGACCTGAAATGACCTCAGCAGCAAAAATATGGTCGGGTAGTGTGACAAAGAGATTCTAGCTGGCTTGGCACCAGGAAACAGCATCGTCATCGGTATTTGATAAGCAGCGCACTTGATATCCAACGGTGACCCAAAACAGCAACATTTTTTAGTTTGACCTGACCTGGAAGGTCAATGACTGACCTGAGAAGGTAAAACTGGGTATCATTGGATTCGTCTCTTCCCAAAGAATCTTTTTGGTCTTTACTGCTAAGCTCTATCTCCAACAGGAACGAAATGGCGCGGGGGTGGCAACCCCCCCCCCCCCCATGTGCGTTCTAGGATGGGAAAATGGCATGTGCGGGCGAGGGTTAAGACTCAAACGCTCCGATCGGTTTTCAATGAATAACACTGCATACCAAAAATGCCAACCGCTTTCGTCATAAGATATTTAGCTTTAAATAACTAGGTTATCTACATCATTATTTTGAACCAAATCAATACATTCAACTTAACCCTTGCTGGCACAGGGTCGATTTGATGTTGATGCAACCCCCTAAGGTTTTTCGCGAATAACTCGCGTAAAAAGCGGCCGATCGTGACGAAACTTTCAGTACCCTCGCATTGATCAATTTTACACCCACCCTAAAAATTTCATGACCCTGACCCAAATGACCTTTGACCTGTGACCCACTTTCCGAGACCATGTTTGGCCGGAATCGCGATTCGGCGTATGTCGTTTCGCATTAGCCGCGCGTTTGCAAGCTTTTCGTGGTTTCAAACGTTCAAACATGTGATTTGATGTTGCTCCCATGCATTAGGGTGGATGTCAGGTCACCTGAACTGAAGGTCAGGTCAGGTCATTGACCTTTGGTGACCTCGGTTCACTTTTTCGAGTTTTACATGTTTCTGGGCTAGTTTTTAGAGCTGATTTCGAATTAAGCAACCATTTGAACATTTACGAAGTAGTTTTGGTGCCTTCGTAACATGTTACGAAGCTGCAGAAGCGGTTGACACGTATTACGAATACCCGTCACGACCCCTACCGGTTGACCTGACCTGACCTGATCTGACCCGACCTGGTCTAAATGCTTAAAGACATCATCTCTGATCAAAACTAACACGATATTCGTGATCAGCACCCCGGAAAACCCCATGGCAGTCACACTTTACGACTTTCTAACAGGTCCCGATTTTCCCGATTCTCGGGTCATTGACCTGACCTGGAAGGTCACCCGATGACCTAGGACCTTAAAATTGGATATCATCGGCTTCCTCTCGTGACGGGCAACACGCTCGTTTTTTTCCGCGAAGCTCTAGCTCGATCAGGGGCCAAACGCGAGGGGGTCCGGGGTCGTATCCCCCCCCCCGTGCCGTCGAAGGACGCAAAATGGCCTGTGCCGGCGAGGGTTAAAATTGGGTATCATCGGCTTCCTTTCGTCACGGGCAACACGCTCGTTTTTTTTGTGAAGCCTTAGCTCGATCAGGGGCCAAATGGCAAGGAGGGGTCGGACCCCCCCCCCCCCCTTATACGTTCGCGGCTGGAAAAACACCAATACGGGCGAGGGTTCAGGAGGGAAGAGAGTCGGTGACGGTCAGGGGCACTACAAGCAGAGCACCATAAGCCGGTGACCGGGCTGACATACCATCTTTTGGTAGCATGACTGAAACATACTTTTTTGGGTAGCCAGGAAATCGCATGCGAGAGCCTATTCAAAATCTTACATCGGCCTTTATATGCACCAGTCGCATACAGGTACGGGATTTAGCATACGATTTCCAGACAATCGAAAGACTGTTTGGAGGCAACGAAGGAAGGAATGAGTGAGTTAAGTTGAAGGTATTTAAGGTATGAAGGTATTAAGTTGAATTTGGTTCAAAATGATGATGTAGATAACTTAGTTATTAAAATCTAAATATCTTATGACGAGAGCGATTGGCATTTTTGGTGTGCAGTGTTATTCATTGAAAACCGGTCGGAGCGTTTGAGTCTTTAATTTAGTGGTCGCCGCTTACTAATCATGCGGCACACACGCCGCACATAACCGCCAATGCCGCAACGCAGCTTAGATTTCGAAGTAAGCATTTAGTCTCACCCTACGGCCTTGCTGTTAAAGGGACCCTCCCACCTTCAAAAAAGTTAATGAATTGGCACGAAAGTGATGTCGCTCGGTTCAGAAAGAGCGAAAACGAATATCTACCAAATTTCATCGAAAAATATTCACCGGTTTTCAAGATATTAGACTTTTACTTTTGTTTACTTTTTGGGATCTCCGCTGTTCCTAGCGACTTTATTTGAAAGTGCGGCATTTGTTGCGCGCAAAGCAGCATATACCACCGCGTGCTACCAAACGTTTTAGTAACAGATTTAAAAATCGTTAGATCTCCGCTGACGTCACAAATTCTAAGGGGGCATACCAATGCACTAGCCCCTTAGAATCCGAAAACTGCAAGTTTGAAATTCCATATCTCCGAATTAAAGCATTTGTCGATGTTGTGAGTGCCCAAACCGGTATTTGCAGGCCATGGCCACCAATTTGGCTATCTCAACTCAAAACTAATGTTAAGGTGGGAGTGTCCCTTTAATTGTTATCTGTCCAAGGGACCGTCGCCACGAGGAGCGAGACGGACTCTCGCGATTGCGGGAGCCTAAAAGGAAGGAGAAAGAGCTCTCCACTTGTGGGGCGCATTATTCGTTGGATACAGGAATGGATAATGAATCAAATACCTAAATGTGCCACAAATGACCGAACATTAGATTACCGATAAAAACAAAACTGAGGTGTATTATATCCCTATTCCATGCGTCTTGTCCGATATTTTCACAACGCCATCATGCAGTCGTTTTGTTCAGTTGACATTTTGTTATGAGTGTAATTACCGTGACCTATTACACTGCGCTTAGATGACATAGGGTTGAAATTGTCGCGAAATATGCTGAAACGCCAAAGGGGAATGATTTGGCGCTGCTCGTCGCCGTTTGTGTGGTACCTATTTGGGAGAGAGAATAACACAGAGGGGCGTAAACATGTTCGCACCCCCTTCCACGGCGCGGCTTGAAAACCATGCTGTTATGGGTGATGAAATTCCGAAGCGTAAAACGCGTCCACCCGAATGTGCTGTGAAACCCGTCTCAATATATATAATAGTAATTGTCTCGTTATGTAACTCTTGTCACAGTTTTCACAAAAGTTAGCCAGCGGAGTGGGACTATTCCATTTTCAAATGTCATCTGGGAGTGACAATATCGGGTGGATGAGTGCTAATGTATATTTTTGGTTCGGACCAGTCAATCACACCGGGATCCTGGTAGGTATCCGACCTCTGACCTCCATATGTTAAGGTCAGACACGGACGGTGAGCCTGACACCCCTGCGTTCTGCACACACGGTTGTTAAACAATGCAAGCGTGTTATATCCGGTCTAAGTTTGAACCCAAAGAGTGGAGCAAGAGTTTGCCAGACAGATTGCTTCGAAAATTTACGGTATGGGGAAGGCATTTATAGCATTTATAGGGCAGCACATTTCTGCACCCGTACTACCTCTACCCAACCTCTACCCACTTAAAATATTTGGCTGGTACTGTGGCTTTCTTATTGACTATTCATATGGCCTTGGACTATTCACAGCTTGAGGAGGGGAGTGAAATATCCGCCATTACTTGCTTATGTAAGATACACTGTCCTACGGTAAAATTTAGCGAAGCCCTTATGCCAAATATTTTGTTTTCGACGCTCAGTGTAAAGACTTCTGAATTTGGTCACTTTTTGCCTGTCAACTTTGAAACATTTTTTACGGGGAGTTGCAGCATCTTTTTAGGGATTATTTCGTCGATCGGCACTCACGACCGATTATCTATTAGAGAATCATCTTTTATCTATATGTAGAAAAAAATAAACGGAAAAAATCGCCAAGTGCTTCTTGGATCCTAGTCTTCTCTACCTGCATGTTCCAAGCAACATTATTTTATCGCCACTGCTCTGGTTTTACGTCGTAGAAGTATGACCCGTTTCCCGTCATTCTTTTCCTGACGAGTTTGTTCTTTTGCAGATCAACTTTCGGAGAACTCGACCGACGAGAATAACGTGCGACTTGTGCAGGGTATTATCGACCGCGCCATGAAAAACGAAACGCTGCTGAATGAACTCACACTACAGCTAATAAAGCAGACAACAGGTAAGCTCAGGGTATAACCAACTACAGAGGTAGACCAGAGGAGTGAGTGAGGAGTGAGTGAGTGAGTGAGTGAGTGAGTGAGTGAGTGAGTGAGAAGAGAGAGAGAGAAAGAGAGAGAGAGAGAGAGAGAGAGAGAGAGAGAGAGAGAGAGAGAGAGAGAGAGAGAGAGAGAGAGAGAGAGAGAGCAACTCAGTCTATTATTATTCGTACAAGCCTGTCAAACTAGTGTCTGAAAGTTTATCTTTCATATATTAGATACGAGTATTTTTACTTGTGTTGGCCTTTGCTGACCCCCCCCCCCTCGCTCTCTTGTACAGATCACCCCGATCCGAACTCGCGAGTGAACCGGCGCCATTGGTCCCTGATGGCACTTCTCTGCTCCACGGTCATCCCTTCGTACCAGCCGACCAAAAAGTATCTGGCCGCCCACCTGACCAAGTGCGCCAGCGATTATGTCACTGAGGAGGGCAAGTACGCCCGGTTCGCCGAGAAGGTGGGTGCTAGGAGAGAGGGAGAGAGAGAGAGAGAGAGAGAGAGAGAGAGAGAGAGAGAGAGAGAGAGAGAGAGAGAGAGAGAGAGAGAGAGAGAGAGAGAGAGAGAGAGAGGAGAGAGAGGCTTCTTGTGAGGCGAGAAATCTAGGTAGTTCTACTATGAAATGATTGATATACTCGAGTCATAGCAAAAGATTGCTGCTTGACAGTTTGCTATTATCGTTCTATGCCGCTCTAAGCGATCGTTTGTTTTGCAAACATTCATTCATAAATCAACTGTTGGTCATCGGTTTTCTAATTCCTGACTCTTCTCTGACCCCGTCCTCTTGTTTCAGTGCATGCACAAGACGATCCACTGTCGTCGGCGACAGTGGGCGCCCTCCCGCCAGGAGGTGCTGTGTACGGTCAACTGTCGGCCCATCCACGCGCGCTTCCACTTCATGGACGGCCAGTTCCACAGTGTGGAGTTTGAGGCGGCCGCCACGGCCGGAGAGGTGCTCCAGCTGGTCAAAGAGAAGATCGGCCTCAAGCCGGACGCCAGAGGTATGGGCATGACCGCGCCGTATCGCCGTCTGTTGCATGGTGGGGGCTACTGTATGTACACCTGGGCGTGGGATTCATCAAAGTGAGAGGTGTGTTCCTCAAACTTCAACTCAATATTATCACTAGGCTGTTTCCATCTCGGTATTAATTGTCCATTTTTTGTTATTAGGCTTTTTATCGACAACTTGTATGACTCAACACATGCTTAGGCTCATACAGTCTCACATATGTATCACCTGAGCATGCTCAGCGGTTTGCTGCTGAGAGCCCTGTTTGCCACACTTGTGACATAAGTCTTCCGAGTCGTGCACCAGTGTCGGACACCAGTACCACTCACATACGTCTGAGCCGTCTGGAAATAGTCCCTGCCGGCTGCCTGTCTGTGGGGTTTCTGACCGGGCTTTCCCTCGCCCTACTCAGGTTACGCCATCTATGAGGTGCTCGGCCAGAGCGAGCGCAATCTGCTGCCGGATGAGACGCTGGCCGATGTGATGTCCAAATGGGAACGGTGAGTGATCCACCGCGCGCCCTGCCCGCGGCACGGGCGGGTTCTCCGTGCGGGCCTCAGGAGAAGAGAGGCGTCACTGACGCGAACACACTTATACCATAATACCGCACATAAATATTGAAATGATAGCTATGTGTGTGTTTTTTATATTTGATGCTCAGCCGGTAGAGTTTATTGCTCTTTTTTCGCTAGATCTCAGGGTTATCAGCATGATGCTTTGCTGATTTATCCGTATTGTCCACTAGGAAAGATATCATCGTAACTTGATTTTCTTGTCAGACCTGAATCATTGGAATGAAACCGTCCACCGATACCAAAGCAACAATATTTTTGTGTGCGCAAAAAGGGCTATTTCAGGCAAATGCCTTTATTTGGCATCCTAGATTTTAAAACTAGTAAAGGCTTTGTTTTGACAACGCTGGCATGTTCCATCGTGCAAAGCGTCTTACTTCTCCGACTTCCAAGAAGTCGTTCGGTGCCCAACGACAAACCAATAGCTCACTTGCCTAACAATGCTCATGCAAACGGTCATTAGCTATTTTTTGCTCCGCATTTCTGGTAGTTTGCCGAACGTCGCTCGGCGCTGGAGTTACGGTCGCGGTCGCCCACGGGTGGCCCAGCCTCAGATGTGTCCAAATTCGTCCACCACCGATCGGGCCCATTGTCTGACATGTGTGGCGCTGACAGTTGGCGTTGGACGCACGACTGATGACTGCCTGTAACCGTGTTAGTCGGCCCGTGTCGCCAAGCGTCGCCGGCGGTGGAGCTCGCTGGCTGTGCCGCCCGCTAGCGGCGACCAGTGACGTGCCACCACCTGAAAAGACCTACCACAATGAACATGTCTAGCCCGACCTGCGTCACGGCACGAGACAGCGCGGCGCGCCTTGTGTTCATTGTCGGCGACCTCCCACGCCGGGCCGAGGTTGGAGCCGCGCCCCCGCCGCCGCCGTCCCCATTGGCCGAGCCTGTGTTGGCGGGTGACCCGGCTGACTAGAGACCAGTATTGATTGCGGCCAATAATGCTCCCAAATATGACCCTGTCACTCTGCCGGGACGGCAATCGACGACGTCATATGAGTCTGATTTTTCATGGAGAGAAGGTCGCTCGATGACCATTTAATGAGCCATCGATGCCCAGGACGCTGCGTAAGGTTTCGACAAACAGAAAAGTGTTACGTAACCACTTGCGCAGAACGTTGAAACACTACCCTGAGCTCTGCAAACCGCAAATTAGGGTTCCATTTATGGGTTCTATGTAATTAGCCTTGCTCATTTTGTTTCAATGTATGACGGCTGCCTTGTGTCTGAGCTTCTTAGGTGCCGGTTTGTCTTTCATGGACACGATTTCGGTTAACATGCCCTTTTTCCATCATTGCGCTCACGAGTCCCAACACGTGCATTTCTTGAGCCGACCCAAGTCTTAAATCCTCTTCAACTAAAACTGGCCTTCGTGATTTTGTCAATTTATAAGTAGGACTGTGAGACACTTGGTTATCTAACCGCTGATTTACATATTCAAGCTATTATCACTGATGCCAGATTCGACATCACCGTTCATCAACAAAGGCACTCAAACTCAAGACTCCTTGTTCCGTCTGCACCAGTTCACATTTCCCTGTAAGTGTACATTCCCTGTCCAACCCCCACCCGGTTTAACCGCTCGTCACGCCCGCTCTCCCTCAGGTACCAGACGGCTACGGCCGGCACGGACAAGGCGCGCAAGCAGCACATCTTCCTCTTCAAGAAGCACCTGCTGTGTGACGAGACCCTGGACCTGGAGGACCGGGTGGAGAAGGAGTTGCTGTACCATCAGATGCTGCACAACGTGCGCAACGACAAGTTCCCGCTGACAACCATGGAGGCGGTAAGTGGACTGGGGAGGGGGAGCTGATGACCGGTTCGGCGAAGATTGGTCAGGTCGGAGCGGCGAAGGGTCAGGACGGAACGGCGAGAAGTCAGGCTAGGGCGGTGGCCGGTCAGGTGAAGTGTGGTCAGGGTGGAACTGTGAACAGTTTATTTATTTATTTACATCGTGTGCTCGTCCCTGAAATCAGTGAAACAGTCAGGAGGAAGCGGCGAAAGGTCTGGACGGAACAGCGAAAAGTCAGGGTAGGGCGGTGGCCTGTCAGGTCAGGGCGGAACTGTGAACAGTCAGGAGGAAGCAACGAAGGGTCAGTGGACGAAACCGCGAGAAGTCAAGGTAGGGCGGTGGCCGGCCTGGTTCTGGTGACAAGTGGTTAGGACGGGAGTTGAACGACCCGGCTGGTTGTAGCGGGACTGGCTTACTGAATAGTATGGTGGGATATATTATGATATATTATGAATAGTATGGTGTGTGATATTCACAAAGAGACGTGTACACGGCCATTAGTCGTTTGACTCACAGACAGACAGCCAAACTTGGCTTGTATTTGATATAACTGCATGATTTAGCGGTTTATTGTCACACCGTTCCATGCTTCTATCCTCAGGATACTGAAATCCTTCTCCTCCACGCCGCAACCCCCTTCGGGCTGGACAGGCAACTTTATCTCATGCGGGCTGCTCCCTTGGAGCGGCACCGCTGCTCCCGAGGGAGCGCACCCCGTAGCCGGGTGCAGTGAGTACTTTGGGTCTGGGTGGCCTGTCCTCTGGACGGGCTCAGCCCCGGTGACTCACTAGGGTGCCTGCCCAGACCAATGTCTTTCCCTATATCCTATCATCCTCCCGGCTCTGAAATGGTCCCATTGGACCGAAAGGGCCTAACCCAACAAAACAAAACACAACGGTTTATTGTAGCAATTGAACGTGACTTAGTGATTGAACATTGTAATGAGTTGCGTCGTATATTAAACACAAAACATATTATGGTGTGGCTTAGGGTTTTCTGCTGTATATATGGTGCGGAAAATCAAGAAATCTCGTCATGCTTCTATGGTAGAACGTTGTTCCTACAGACTAACTCGCATGATTCTTCTTGTTCTTTTCTTTTTATCGAGATAAGAAGCTCATGACCTGTAGGACCCGATCGCGTCCAAGTCTCGAGTGGAGCTTATCACGGGTAGCAGGAGTGGAGTACCAGAAGTACTCTCAGCTCGAAGCAAGCTTCTTATTGGGACTATTAAAAGAAGTGTTATATAAAATAAAGAATATAAAATATTAGAATTAGATATATTTTTATGCATTAAATATATAATAAAAAGTGTTATTGAAAGTATTAGTGACTGGACATGAGTGTTCGACGCAATATGCTGGAAGGTGGAACGCCATTCCAATAACTATTCATCGCACCATAAATCATGCTCTTCTAGGTCGACAAAATGCACGGGACGACTGAAACCCTACCGAAGCTTTACTAACTGAAGCTTTTACTGAAGTACGAGGTTTCAGCGTCAGTGGCCCCGAGTACGACTAAGCATCCATGCTCTGAAGGGTCGGTGTCAATATGACCGTGCAGCGTCCTTTAGATGTGAATCGTCATATCCATGCGTCCACGCCGATAGTACAGCGGCGGGAGCTGCTTCAGTCTGCTCAGACTCTTAGGAAATATCAGGGCATCTTGTGTGATTTGCGTTCAGGTAGCTTAGTTTCCGCTTAACAATGGAGCGCCATTACAGAATTGTTGCAATGGCCATGGAGATTATGAAGCAAATATGTATTTCCATGTGCAGCTTCATACGCTAGGAAAGCTGGTGCAGCTCAATCTTTCCCCGGATCGGTGTGTGGACAAATGACGTTCATTTTGCGTCTGTCTGTATTTTTCCCGTCCATTGTATGACCCCACCCACTGACATCCATCTCTGTCTGTCCCCTATCAGTGATGCTGACCGCGCTGCGGGCGCAGATTGAGCTGGGTGACTACAACCTGTCGTCAATCGACTACCAGCAGGTGATGGCCTACACGCTGCCGCCGCGCGTCGCCGCCGTCGCCTCCGTCCACACCGTCACCGTCCACCACCAGAGCCTGGAGGGCATGTCCACGACCAGGCCAAACAGGCCTTCCTCAACCTCATCCAGTCGTGGCCCTTCTACAGAGCCAGCATCTTCGAGGTGGTGGTAAGTGCAAACTGTTGAATGCGGTCAGAGGGACTGCATGGGAAATGTATTGGTTGCTTTTCTCTTAGCCATGCCAGTGATTTGATATGTGGATCGAAAATTAGGAATAGATTTGGCTTATTCAAAGCCTTTTTCCTAGTGTCAGTTTTTAAAGTTTCTAAACGTGAAGGGTTGATTATTTTTACG